AGAAACCCTATACAGGGTCACTGTGAGTCAGTACCAACTCAAAGGCACTAACACAACAAAATCTCTATTTTTATTGAGCATAAAGAAGGAAGAGGGAAGGAAATGAATGGATTATTCATATGAAGTTAAAAACCTAAAGATACATATGGCTATAGATAATGATAAACTCACCTCAGGCTGCCTGCCCCTCAGAGGGATGCCCTCCTTATTCTACTCATTTCTGACACCTTACAATGGGCTAACCACATGTGGATGCCCCCACCTGTTCAGGTTCTGACACCTGCACCAGTCCCCTCAGGCTCTGATTCCCTGCAGTAGTATCCTCAATTCCTAACAGGAAGATCTCTCACCCTGCTCAGTCTCTGCACCTCACAAGGCTGCCCCACCCCTACCCAAACTGGATGCATTCCTTCTCTACCAAGCAGTACCCACATCTCTTCATGCGGACGGATTCCCTCCTCACTACATTTTGCCCTGCTATCCTTCTCTGGAGCCCATGCCTCCCCCCACTCACAGATGCCTCCCTACATTGACTTTAGGACTGAATTTTGAGGGGAAAGAAAGGGAAAGCTTTTAAGTAGTTTCAATGTTTAACTTTATGTCATCCTTTATTAAGTTTTCTATACAAATTAATCCATTTGTGATTGAGAAACAATCAAAATAAAGACAAAGCCTAAGAGTTATGTGGGGCACTATCAGAAGGAATGCTCTAAGCCTAATTGGAATTCCAGAACAGGAGGAGATAAATGAAAGCAGAGAGAACCTTTGAAGATCTACTAACAGAAAACGTCCCTAATATCATGAAAGACACAATTCCCATTTAAGAAATTCAATAAACCCCATGCAGGATATAACACAAAAGACAGTCACCAAGGCAGAAACTTTCCAAAACCAAAGAATTCATAAGAAACAAAATATCAGCTTTGAAGGGCACAAATAAGACTAAGCTCTGACTTCTCACACAGAACTCTTTAGATAAGGAGGTAATAGCAATAGGATGATATATACTTCAACAAGTTCACAGACAAATAGAATTAGAAGATAATGGAATTTTTCCATGAATACTCTAAAGTCCCTTCATATAAAACTCTGAAATTAAAAAATTGCCAGATAAGAATGAAGTAGCCAGCAAAACTGTCTCAAAAAGACAATAGTGAAATTAAGACCAGATGAACAGAAATTGAAGACATTTCAGAATAAACCTAACTATGGAGTGTAGTGGCACCGCAGGATAAGAACTTGACTGCACCACAAGAT